ATAAAAAATATGATGTACATCAGAGTAAAACGACACAATCGTGTTATGAAGCGACCGTCAAAGACATTACTGATTTACGGAGAAGAATAGTGTGAAACGTACGCCATGCGACGATGCGTCGTTCGGACGTTCCATACGTGAAGAGGGAGGGAGAGGGAAAGAGAGAGGGAGAGGGGGAGAGAGAGGGAAAGAGAGGGGGAGAGAGAGGAGAGAGAGAGAGGAGAGAGGGGGGAGAGAGAGGGGGGTGAGAGAGGGGGAGGGAGAGAGAGAGTTATATATGCGCCCTTCGGTGCGCGTCTCCGAGGTCAAACCGAGCAAGCAAGCAGCAGCAGCAGCACCAGCAGCACAGTAGGCACGGTGGCGAGGCGGGAGCAGGCAGGAGGGACACAGGTGCAGCAAACACGTCGCGTCATAAATCAGTAACAAATCACAAGCAGGGCAGTATAACAAACCAAGCAAGCAGCCCGGGTATGGGTCGGGCGGGGTGGGGGTAGTGTGACTTATGTGCGCCGAGACGAGAATGGGGGAGGGGGTGCCCCCCCCTGAAAAGTCGCCCTGTCGACGCCCCTGTTAGGTTGTTGGCAGTCCTGCGGGGTCGCCGGCTTCCAGGGCCCTTCCGTCCCCGCCCCGGCCCCGCCGCCACGTCGCCTGCTAAACTCGGCGCGCACACTACGTACATAAACACAAAAGTCTCTCAATGTTTACTCACCGTGCGGCAGCAGCAGGGTCACGAGCAGCAGCAGAGGGGCCGCGCCCCGCCACCCCGCCGCCATGGGGGACCGACGGGGACCGACGGGGACCGCGCTACCACCTCGTGTCTGCAACAACAAAGGGAAACGACAGTCAGTTCACTGCACACAATTAAACAGCGCAACACACTCTTAAATTTAAAACAGAAATCACAGCTGTATATTTATTTTCCGAAAAAAGACGTTGAAAAACGTTTTCCTTATAGTGTCACTTACCCAACTGTTCACAATATTTTTCTAACAAAGTTGTAGATTGTGTTTTACGAGTTACAATTGTTACTGTTGTGCAAATTATCTACAGTGCAACACAAGTTTAATGTAGGATAGTTTAGTGGAAAGTACCACAAAAATTACCCGGTGGGGAAAGAACTCCATTTTTTATTTTTTATTTTTATTTTTAGGGGCGTACACCTTAAAACCATCGTGTCAGCAGTGAGAGAAGAGAGCGGCGATACGTGTGAGTTCGTCATCCATGGCAGAGAGAGAGAGACAGACAGA